GCATATTGACTTTCATTTATTAACACATTTTTTCTCAAAAAACCATATCGAGTGCCAATGTGCAACGTCAAGAGTAAATCCTATAGAATAACTCATTACAAATAATGAGTTATTCTCAACCAGATTGATATTTATTCATGTTCATTGATGTTGAGAATAACCCATTTTTTGCAATGACTTATTCTAAAGGATTTACTCGGGAGGTAGCACATGGACACTCATTTTTCCTAGAATATTTGACCAAAAAAAATTCTCTGCAGCATCTCATACAAAAAAGTGGGTTAGTCTCAACATTATTCATGTTTATTCATCTTGAATTATGTTGAGAAAAATCCACTTTTTGATATAAGGTGCTGCAGAGGAATTTTCTGGGCAAATATTCAAGAAAAAACGAATCCCCGTATGCTACATCAAGAGTAAATTGTGTAGAATACCTCGTTGCAAAAAATGGAATATTCTCAACATGATTGATGTTTATTCATCTTCATTCGTGGCGAAAACAACCTACTTTTTGCAATGACTTATTGGAAGGAATTTACTCATGAAGTAGCACATGGACACTCTTTTTTGCTTGAATATTCGCTTGAAAAAAATACATTGTGGCATTTCATTGCAGAAAGTAGGTTATTCTTAACATGATTCATGTTGATTGATGCTCAATCATGTTAATGCGTTAATAAAAATTTTTTTTATTGCAGAAAACAACGAAAGAAGTGGCCAAGAGGTTCCAAATCCATTGGAGAACTCACTGCACCCCACTGCACAAAGGCAACATCCCGTAAATATATTAATTGATGATCATTTAGCAATCATCAATTTTTTAAGAAATACGATTAATTGTCTTTCTGAGATTGAAAATGAATCTCAAGATTTAAAATTATAAATTTTCATTTGTTTTTTTTTTGTGGAATTTTTCCAGTTGCCGCATGCAGGGATGATTCGTCCATGTCTTCCTCCTTTTCCTCCTTTTACTTCTCGTCTTTGTCTGGCTCCTTTTCCTCCTCGTCCTTTTCTATCTCCTTTTCTTCCTTTTCCTCATCATCCTCCTCTTCCTTTTGCCCCACCGCCGCCTGACCAACAACAATTACCCCCTGGGGATGCTCCTCTCCCAGGATGAATGGATGAATGAGGAACATGATCAGGAGGAACATCTCCAAGGAGTTGATCCCCAGGGTGACCATCCTGAACATGATCAGGAGGAACATCTCCAAGAAGTTGATCCCCAGGGTAACCATCCTGAACATGGGGTGGCGGCTGGAGCCGCCAACGAAGGTGTGCCGAGGCAAATCCCATTTCCCCCCCGCGGACCAGGCTTCATTGGCGTAGGGCCCTACATGGGTGGCCACCACGGGCCCGTTCGGTATGGGATTGGCCCACACGGACCCGGTCCGTATGGACCACTCCCATACGGGATTTTTCCATACGGGGTTGGCCCTATGGTCAGACCTGAGTTTGGTGGCCCATACTGGGCTGGCCCATACCCGATAGGGATGCAGCACACCACCATGCAGCCTCCAATGGTAATAATGCAATTTTGCTTTCAGCACATTGACGAGGGAGTATTCTTATTTGTTTTTTTTTGCAGCAGCAGAGAGTCAACTCTCCTATAGAGGGAGGACGTAGCGGAGGACGTGGAGGAGGTGGTGGAGGACGTGGTGGAGGACGTGGTGGAAGACGTGGTGGAAGACGTGGTGGAGGCACCAGAGGTGGTTCCAGTCGAGGACGTGGGGGAGGTACCAGAGGAGGTCATAAAAAGCGAAGCACAAAGGGTGCAATCGTGTACAATGTGTACATTGGAAAATAAAGAATATGATGGACATTATGGTTTTCTTTTTATTCCCCCATTAAACCCTGAAACCTCCATTTTTTCTGATGCACTCGTTTGATCGTACTGCAGAGACATTCCTTTAAAACTCGGTCGGTCATCGTGGGAATGGGGTAGTGGGTGTGGAAAAGTGGGGTTGCATTTTATAGGTACAGATCGACTCAGAATCACCCCCTGAGTCGATTTAGTTACCCCTGTAGAGACTTTTTTT